CAATCAGTTGTTTTAATTGTCATATTTGAATTCAGCACATCAAAATAAATAATAAATAGCACATTTTATCTCTGAAGCAGACGACTTCTCAAAAATTGTAGACCAGTGTTACATGGCACAGGCAGCACAAAACATATTCCAGTTATGTCATACATACATTTATAAGCACCCCCCCATAAAGCCTTATGGGGTACACTGTCACAAGGACTTACTGTGTGTTTCTGTAAATAACCAGATGACACTGAAGATAACCCTGACTTCATGTCTGCAATTGCTCATCCAAACAGATCCCTGCTCCCCCAGCCAGGCCCCAAATTTCAACTGCTGCTCAGCAAAAGAGGCATCGAGACCTGTCAGAAACCATGTGATGTGAGCAGGCATGGAGCAAATCACCTTGTATATTCATTATTCATTATGTGTGATGTGATTGGTCACTTAAGTCACCTGGGTTGAAAGCACCACCAGACTGGGATGAGAGGATTTGGGTGTGGACAGAAGGGGGGTTAGGGCAATGCCTGACTTAGAGCCCGAGTTAACTCTGCCATGAAAACAGACCCCGTTAGACACAGGAGCTATCTTTTGTTTTTCCCAGTGGATGCTCCGGCCCTGCTCCACCCCAAGGCCCTGTCCACGCAGGGCATCTTCCCCCAGGCCCCGCCCTCACTTCACCTCTTCCTGCCCCTACTCTGCCCCCTACCGTACCTGCAACTTGCTCCTCTGTACCCCCTCCCCGAGCCTGCCCACCCACCCACCAGCCTCTCGCTCCTCTCTGCCCCGTCCCCAAGAGCTTCCCACCAGCTGCTCGCTGATCAGCGGCCAGCCCCAGGGCCCGCCAAACAGCTGATCCATGGCCAACCCCAGGGCTTGCGGAACAGCTGATTGGTGGCCAGCCCCAGGACCCTGCAGAACAGCTGATTAGCAGCCAGCACCAGTTGTGGCTGGTGGGTGTTGAGCACTCCCTATTTTTTTCCATGGGTGCTTGGGCCCCAGAGCACCCTTGGAGTCAATGCCTATGCTGGTAGCGCAGAACGCAGCCCCCTGATTAGGTACGGCAGGTTCCTGCCGGCCTGTCCCAATACAGGCTAAGGAAATAAAACCTCTTTTCCAACTACCAGAAAACCCAAAGCAAAGAGGTGACTCCTCTGAGTGTTTCAGGTCAGTCTGAGGCATTTACATTGCAGGCCATGAATCAGGAAGCTGCATGTCTCTTCAGATACCTGCTTAAAGCAACCTGACTGTAAACAACAAGCCATTGTCGATCTCTGAGTCAGCCCAGGGAACCCGTCCAAGTGGTTTGCAAAGAATTGTACAGAGGTGAGGAGAAGTTCATACAAATAAATGTTTCTGCTAAGACTCCACAGCTCCAAAATGCTTCACTAGTAAATATTTTGTATGATTGCCACATCTGGAGCAGTCAATCGATAAACAAACAAAAAAATTGTTTTTAAAAACTTTCTCTATACATGGACACCCCCATAGACCTCAAGTACACAGAGAGCAAACAGACCCAAATACAAACAGAGAACGTTACACACAGATGTGTCCTGTTTCCAAAGCTCAGGGAAGCCATTCCAAAGGCCACTCCCCACCCACTATATCTACATGTCCTGCCTCGGTCACCACAATTCTTTGGTAACCCACCAAACAGTTTCATATTCCAAACTTACTGAGTGTAAGTGATGCAGTGATACCTGCCTGAGTTTGCAGACAGCCTGAAACAATAGCACTAAGAGATGGGAAATTCTCCATTCCTCACACTTCAGTGGACTCATGATGCCATGGAATTCAGCGTGTCTGCCACAGAATTCACAGGTTGCCCAAAGTTTTATCTTCTGTATCCCTGCCCTGATGCAGACAGGAGTGGGGAGAGCCACCCCCTCACCTAAACAGCCAACTCCCCAGTCAGAGAAGGAATCTTCCCTCCCTCTTTCAAACATGCAGTAGTCCAACCAACACTGAGCAAACCCAGCCTGGATGCTTCAGTTTTCACCACTATTACCAGCATCAAATCTATTCCTGAGTGAGCTGAGAGGGTAGCTAGCAAACGGCCCCCCACTAGCTCATCTAGCTGGAGCTCAATCTAGACATGGCTCGCTCTGGCTTGAGGCCAGGCCATTGAACTGCAACTGCTTTAGGGGCACTGATGGACGATCTCCTTGTGTCACTGGACAGGTGGTTAGAAACTGACCAAGGAGCTATGAACTCCTGCTCACATGATGCTGTAAACGAGCGGCATTCCCACCCTGCTCCAGAGTCTGCACGTGCTGTGTGGGGTCAAACTCACCCCTGCCCTGGGACTTTGCTTTATTCATAAGGTAACTCACAATAATACAACGGGAACTTCAGCCCCAGCTTTCCTCCCAGTCTGGCTTTTCCTAGGGCTCCTCCTATGGTGCCAGCAGAGAATGGGCGCAGCAGGTCCTGGGGTCGCTGACAACGGGACGTGCTCACTGAGCTCACTGCCTCTGTAGGCATCTGTCTGCCTACAGAGGCAGACAGATGCCTAGTGGGTTCTCAAAAGCATCTAAGCAAGTAATGCGCCCAAGGGAAATCAATAGGAGTTAGGTACCTAAGGGTTATTGAACCCAATGGGAGTTAGGTGCCTAAACAGAGTAAGCACTTTTGAAAATCCCATAAGTGCTTATCTGCATCTTTAGGTTCCTAAATACCTCTAAAAATCTGGCCTTACATCCCTCCCTGCTTACCTAGAGGAAGAATTATACAAACCAAACCAAACACAACACTGGAAACCACACCCAGAAATCCTCCTCCGACATTCCACCCAGAGATCGGTCACAGGCCGACTTTCCCAACGCACGCCTCCTGCACAGGGATTCACGCTACTTTGCTGGTGCATTGGAAATGGCAGGTGTCCAGCCTCCTGTGGTCTGGACCAGAGGAGGGAGCTCCTGAGCCTCAGCTCAACAACTGGGACTTTCTGATTTTCCCTAGAACATTCCTGGCAAGAGCTGGAAGCTTCGGTTCCCTGGAATGCTGGATAGTCCCAGTGAATATGTGATTGGATCCAATATTGGGCTCACCGCGCTCACAGGGTGGTTCCCATGGAGGAGGCTGCCCAGGAGTACAGGGCAGGGAATAGTTATCTCTGTGGCTGGGATCGGGGCTTGGTCCTACACTGCAGAGTTAGATCGATGTAAGGCAGTTTACATCCACCTAATTATGTCAGTGTAACACTACAGCCTTGCTCCCACTGATGTAAGTGCCCTACTACATGGATATAACTACTCCACCTCCACGAGAGGCGCAGGGCTTATGTGGGTGTAGTTAGGGCGATGCAGTGTGTGTGTAGACACTGTCTCACTTACATCAGCTGTTGGCTGTCATTCTTGGCAGTTTCATGGCTCTGCTGACTAAAAAGCCAGGCTGTTCCTGGGGCAGGTAGGGGGCTCCAGCTAGGGCCCAGCTGCCTTGAGGCTCCCCTGTCCTAGCCTGGCTGTGCCCTCCGTGCCTGGACCTTGGATGCCCCACGGCCCACCCCGCTTCCAGCCTAGCTGCTGCCCAGGCTTCCTGATCTGAGCTGGGCTGAGCCTGCCCTGCTTCATGCTGCCAGCCAGACTGCTGCCTGGAGGCTCCCAGCTCCCTGTGGGGAGCCCTGGTGAGGTCACTAGCTCAGCGCTGAGAAGAAAGCAGCAGTGTAAAAGTCTGAATCAGGGAGCAGGAAGGGGGCTCCTTGTAACTGCTGCTATGTTGTGATGCACCATAAAAAGTCATAAAGACACTTGGTGGAGGTTCACACAGAGGTCTGCCAGCCAGGGGTTGCAGGAACTGATGGGGGAGCCCATTCATAGTTAGAAATTTAAAAATGAACATTGCCTGCAAGCTCTTCATGACACTTCATGCTGTCAATTGTGAGTGACAACACATTTTTATGACTTGTCACATAGTAAAAACCATGTTGTATATTAACTTATTTGCCAACATATTTTCCCATGTAATAACACAATAAGATTGGATAAGAAACCACAGTAATTACACATAAGTCAGTGAGAAATAGGGAAAGGAATGCAGAGATTTCTGAAGGGAATTTTAGGGGAAAATGATCTATTTTTAGATTAAAATTTCTCTGTGTTAAAAACTAGGACAAACACATAGCTTCAGTAGCCCATGCCACCTAGACACCAGCAGACTGGATAAAAACACAAATGAATCCATCACAAGATAATTTTAGGATATTTATTTTCAAATAATCAAGGTAAGTTTGGGGCACACTGCCATGAATGGCATATTGTGAATAAATCTTCAAAACTGAATTATTACATTGAAAATGTTCATAACGCATCACGTTTAAAACAGAAAGTAGTCCTAGCAATGCCATGTGATGTGCCTCCCCTCATAGTCTGCTCAGTTCGCTCTTCAAGAAATTAGGTTCAATTGCTAATTTCAAGGAATTAGACCAATCGGTCACTATTTTTACAGAGCATTCCAGAAGGTGGTGGACAGAACCCAGAGGAATTGTGATGAATTTCCTGGAGCAACTTTCTTTTCTTTGTACTCTAAACCTCACATGACAACAAAGATATCACCCTTTTGACTGATTTATGGCTGAGAAGAAAGGTTTCCCAATAAAGCTTCACCAAATTTCATGTTATGTGTCATTAAGTGCCAGTGTCTTTAATACAATTAAGTTAATTTGTGATGATTCAGTAAAGGAATACAACCCCTTCACTATTTCTTTATGAAAGTACATTTGTTGTGTCCTTATAACCAAGAACATGAAGAGCCCGGCAGTACATTGAAATCAACAGTGGACACTGACAGTACATTGCATCCAAATAATATTTCTAAAGAAAGATAAACCAAAAAATGGAGATTGTAGAAGAGATTTCTATCAATAGGAAGAGAGCATTTGAGGTCGGGGAGGGTGTTTTTTTAATTGATGTAAGAGAAAGAAAGGAAAGGTCATATCTTGATTACCGATTATATGTAGTTAGAAAGTTAAAAATCCCATGAATTAATGCTGACAGAAGTTCAAAGATTTTTATATAATCTTGTGTGAGTTAACTTAAATATATTGCTTGATTAATTCTATCATTTTTAACCTATTAATTGTCAAAGATGTAGAGCAGGAGGTGGGTGTATGTGCCCACTCTTCCAGAGGCAATAAAGAGAGGGGGAGAGAGAGAGAGAGAGAGAGAAGATGCAAAAGTGTGTAGTTGTGATGTTTATGACACATGTACATTGTAACTGAACAACCCAGTCTGACAATTTAATGGTTTATTTTGTTAAGATAAATATTTTGGATTTCTTGAAATTCCACAGTTGAAATACAAATGATGTTATTTGGAGAAGGGGGAAGAATAAAAAAATAAACGTAAATAATTCTATTTCTAAAATTATGTTTAGATGCTTGTTTTTGAAATACTGTTGAAATGTAAATTAAAATATTCTTGTATTTACACTTTGTTATAATAATATTTTCTAAATTAGAATAATCTTTTTTCTTTCATATTTTACATTGAGATTTCACCAGGGTAGAAAATTCTGACAGGAGTGAATGACCCCCATCCACCACCACCTGCTACCCCTGGGGCAGGGGGCTGGGAAAGGTGAGGGCTAGGGGTTGCCAGTTGAAAAGGGAAACTGGCAGCATCCGGTCAGCATAAAAAGTCCAGTTGCTGCAGTAATTGGCCCCCACCACTGGGGGAGGGAAGATCAGCAGTGCTGGGAGGGGACAGTCTGTGCCGCGGGGTCACTGTCAGGGACAGAGATTCCCTCCGGCCTGATCTGGGACCGGGCAGATTATCAGGGGAGCCGCGTTTGTACCCCCAGTGTTGCGACCAGGATAGAAATAAGGGCGGAGCGTCCCGGAGAAGGTGCCAGTGAAAGTGAAGAGATGGGACCTGTCAGTCACATTGTAAAACGAGACCTCGCCCGCCTCATAGTCCAGGAAAATCCCCACCCGGCTGGGCCTGATGCTCACGGGGAGGGAAGTCCAGGGGGAGGTGAGGGCCTTGTATTCCCCATCACCCTGCCACACGACCCAGTATCCATCCTCAGGTGAGAGTGTGACCCACCCCTTCCTGCTCACAGATTCCCTACAAACCCCCAGAGTCCACTCAGTCTTGTCTCCCACCTCCACCTCCCAGTAACGCCTCCCGCCCGCGAACCCCTCAGCGCCCAGGACACAGGGAGCATAATCAAATCTCTCAGGGTTGTCGGGCAGATCCTGGCGTGCATCTCCGAGTCTCACACGTTTCCGATCCTCAGACAGGACGAGTTCGGGATTTGCCGTGTTTGGATCCAGAGTCACGTCCACTGGGGAGAGAGTCACAGAGTCAGGGCCGGGGGCAGGGGCTGGTCACTGAGATCAAAGGGAAATTAACCTGCATCCCCGTTAATCGCTGTGGGGGGGGGGGTTGTTGCCTGAGGGGAGTCAGGGCCCGTCCAACTGTGAGGAGACAATGATGGGAAAGGGCAGGAGGAGCGGGGGAAGGGTGAGAAGGTGTCAGTGGGGGCGGGGGAGGGGAGGGGACAGGCTCATGCTGGGAGAGGAAAGGGGAGGGGCAGGTGACAGGAGTAGGGGGAGGGGAGGCACAAGGGCAATGGGGGGAAGAGGAGCAGGCAGCAGGAGGGCAGAGGGGGGTGAAGGGAGGAGCAGGTTCCAGGGGACTGCAGGGGGTGAGGGGAGGGGTGGGCACCAGGGCAGAAGAAGGGGACAGACCCCAGGGGCACAGGGAAGCAAGGGAAGGGGTGGGCACCAGAGGGCAGAGGGATGAAAGGGAATGGTGGTGGCTCCAATGGGGCGGAGGTAATCAAGGGGAGGGACTGGTGCCATGGGGTGGTGGGGATGAGGAGTGGGGCAGGTGCCAGGACCATGGGGGGGGGGGAGGGAATGGGCAGGCACCAGGGTGACGGAATGATGCAAGAGCCTGGGGGCAGAGGGGTTGGCTAGGGCAGGGGCAGTCATCAGTGGGTGGAGGAAGGCAAGAGGAGGGGCAGGTACCAGGGGGCTGTGTTGGGGGGGGGGTGAGGAAAGGAGCATGTGCTGGGGGCAGAATGGGGTGATCAGAGGGGCCAGCACTGTGGGGGACTAAGGAGGAAGAGGAGGGGCATGCATCAGGGTCATAGAGTATGAGTGACGGGCAGGGCTGGTGCCAAGGAAAAGAGAGAGATGAGGGGAGGGGTGGGCACCATGGGTCCAAAGGGTGTGCTAGAGAAGGGGCGGGCAGCACTGGGGGATGGGGGGAAGGGAAGGGGCTTGCACCAGGGGACACAAGGGGTGAACAGAGGGGCAGGCACTAGGGAGGCAGAGGGGGAGTAGAAGGAGGGGCTGGCACCAAGGGAAAAGGAGGGGGTGGGAGAAGGCGCAGGTGACAAGGGGACAAAGAGGGGTGAGGAGTAGGACAGGTCCCAGAAGGACATGGGATGACAAGAGGTGGGGCAGACCCCAGGAGGGGCAACAGTGGAGCGAGGGAAAGGGCAGTTATAAAGGGGGAGAGGGGCATGAGGGGTGGGTGCGAGGAAGACAGAGGTGGGAGGAGGGTAGGGGTAGTCACCAGGAGGGATGGTGGGGATGAGCAGAGGAGTAGATGCAAGGAGGGGAGAGAGGAGAGGGGCGAGCACCAGGGGGGCAGAAAGTGGGGTGTGGAGAAGGGCAGACCCTAGGGGAAGAGGGGTGTGGAGATGTGGGCACCAGGGGTCAGAGGGAGGGTAAGGGGAGGGGCGGGACCCAGAGGTAGCAGAGGGTGAAGGGAGGGGAAGACACCAAGGGGCCAAAAGAGGGGCAAGGGAAGGGGTTTGCTCCAGGCAGGCAGAGGGGGCAAAGGAAGGGGCAGGCACCATGGAGGCAGATGGGGGCAATGGTAGAGATGGGCCTCAGGGGGGCAGAGGAGGAGTGAACAGAGGGGCTGGCACCAGGGGACTAGAGGGGGGTGAGGGGCGTAGGTTTCACGGAGGCAGAGGGCGAGGGGAGGGGGAAGAACTAAGGGGAATGTGGCGGGGGGTGCAAGGGAAGGGGCAGTCACCAGAGGGTGTGGGTGAGTGAAGGGGTTTGTGCAGAGGGGAGAGGTGGAGGCCAGAGCGGGAGAAGGAAGGGGCAGGAACCAGGGACAGAGTGGGTGAGAGACAAATGCCGGGGGGACAGTAGTGGGGCGTGGGATGGGGAAGGCATCAGGGGCAAATGGGGGGGTGAGGGAAGGTGCGGTCGTCAGCGGGTGGGAGGGTAAGGGAAGGGGTGGGTGCCAGGAGGCTAGAGGGGTACAAAGGAAGGTGTGAAAGCCGGGGGGCAGAGGAGATGAGCAGATGGGCAGGCAGCAATGAGGGGTGGGGCAGGTGCTGGGAGGCAGTGGTGCGGCATGGAATGGGGCAGGCACCAGGGCCATCAAGAAAAAAGATGAGGGGCAGGTATTGGGGGCAGAGGGGAGGAAGGGAAGAGGTGGGCACCAGAGAGGAAGGGGAAGGGGCAGGTGCCGGGGGACAGAAGGGGGAAAGGAAGGGGCAGACAAAAGGAGGGAAGCGGGTGGGGAGGAGTGTGTTCCAGGAGATGGGGGGTGAAAGGAGGAGTGGTCACGAAAAAGGCAGCGGGTGGGGCAAGTGATGGGTGATGGGGGCAGAGAGGTGTGAGGAGAGTGGCGTCAGAGGGGCACGGGGAGTGAGGGAAGGGGTTGGCACCAGGAGGGTGCAGGGGGGAAGGGAAGGGTAGTTGCCAGGGGGATTGAGGCGGTTGAGCAGAAGGGCAGACACAGGGAGGGAGAAGCACCAGGGGGCAGAGAGGGGCAAGGAGAGAGGCAGGGCAGGTGGGTAGAGGGAGGTGTTAGGAGAGGGGAATCGAGGAGGGGCAGAAGCCAGAGGGTCAGAGTGGGGCTAGAGGAGGAGTGGGCAGAGGGGGGTGAGGGAAGGGGCGGGTGCCAGGGGTCAAAGAGGGTGGGGAGAGGGATGGGTACCCGGCGGGGCTGAGGGGGGAAAGAAGGGTGAGGCAAGTGGCAGAGACCAGGGGGGAAGGTGGGGGAGAGGGGAGGGGTGGGAGACATGGCAGTAGAGAGGGGTGAGGAATGGGGGGCATGAAAGGGCAGAGGGGGTGAGGGCAGTTGCAGGCACCGGGGGGCAGGTGGGGGCAAGGGGAGGGGTGGGAGACATGGCAGCAGAGGGGGAAGGGGAGAGGTTCATGCCAGGAGGTAGCAGGGCGGTGAAGTGATGGGTGGGCTCCAGGGTGCGAAGGAGGTTTGGGGGAGAGGGGCAGGTGCCAGGATGGCAGGCGGAAAAGGGAGGGGTGAGTTCCAGGGGGGCAGAGATGGGTGAAGGGCAGGGGCACATGCCAGGGAGGAAAAGTGGGGGCAGAGGGGCAATGTCCCAGGGAAGCAGAAAGGGGGTGAGAAGAAGGGGAGGGGTGAGGATAGAGGCAGGGCACTGGTGGGCACAGGGCTGAGGGAAGGGTAAGGGAGGAGCAGGATACAGGGGCACAGGGGCATGAGGAGATTGGCAGGGGGCAGAGGTGGATGGAGGGCAGGAGCACATGCGAGGGAGACAAAGTGGGGGGGGGGAGAGGTGCAGGGGCCATGGGGAGCAGCAGGAGTTTAGGGGGAGGGGACAGGAGAGAGGCAGGGGTCAGGTGGGCACAGGGGTGAGGGAAGGGTAAGGGAGGGGCAGGTGCCAGGGGGATAGAGGGAGGTGAAGGGGGTAGGAGAGAAGGTGAAGGGGGCAGGCCCCAGGGAATCTCTGCTGCTTTGGGGCCATGTGTGGCTGGTTTGTTGCTAAGAGCAGGTTGGTACCATCCCCCCACACACTGGGGGTGCAGCTGGGACTCTCCATGCTAAGGCAGGGGCAGGGTGTCCGGGCTCGTTGGAAGGGGGCAGGGTAATGGGGGGATGAGTCTTGAGGGGTGCTGGGGGGAACAGGTGCCATTGCTAATGAGGCTGGGGCAATGGGGAGGAGGCATTTCTCCACTTGCTACCCCCTCCATCTGGGATAAGCTGCTCCGGGTGCCAATCCCAGTTCACATCTGTGCAGTGCATCTGCACTAAGGGTTTGCACGGGGGCACTGACATGCCAGGGACACTGATGTGCCAGGGGCCGTAACCCCTCCCCTCACTGGGGTTATGGATCAATAATTACAGGGTCACTGGAGCAGGGGACCTGGACTCTGGGGCTCCCGGGTGGGGACCCAACCCACTGGGCTGCAGAGTCAGTCTCACTCCCACGCTCTGGCCCAGGCCCATGGCAGTGTTTAAACACAGGGGGCGTCTTCAGCACGAGAGATTGAGTGAGCCCCACATCAGACACCCGGAGCCCAGCGGTTCCAGCCCTCACCTAAGGTGGAGAGACCCACATTCCAATTCCTTCTCCACATCACATGGGTGGATTGAACCTGGGGCTCCCAGCTGAGGGCCCAGCCACTGGGCTAAAGGCTAGAAGGGAAGTGGCGGCACCTTCTTCTGTTCATTCAAACTATTCAGCAAGCTCGACATGGATTCAGGAATACTTTCAGTCGACCCAAAATATAATTTTTCAGCAAATAAACTAATTACCCCCAAAATTACACCCAGCTCTATTTCAAATGTGTCCAAGCAACTTAGGAGCCCAAATCCCAGTGACTTGCAGTGAGTGACTGTCAACACCTCCAGAAACGTAGTTACGGGCAGGCCAGGCTCAGGACATCAGCTATGAAACACTCCAGAGCTGCTGTTAAATTTGCCCTTGGTAGAAAAATCCCCCCTCGGAATCCCATATTCAGGGGACATCTTTACCTGGTAGCTGTGGACTACTTTTCCAGGTATACAGAAATAGTGAACTTGAAAGATGTAACACATGTTATAGAGGAACTGACGTGCACTTTTGGTCATTTCAGGCTTCCAGAAGAACTTGTGACAGATCATGGACCACAATTCACTGAAGTAGAATTTAATTTATCCAAACAAAATATGATCTTCCTCATATTACGAGAAGCCCATATTACTCACAAGCGAATGGAGACACGGAGAGAGCTGTACGCACAGACAAGAATATCATTCAGCAGGAAGATCCATTCTTTGCTCTACTGAGGTATAGATCAACACCAATAGCAGCTACTGCATATAGTGCAGCACAACTCCTAATGGGAAGACAACTCAGAACTACCCTCCCAACTTTGGAAAAGAATCTTTCTCCAAATTTGCAAGACACATAGAAAGTAGTCAAATCCAATAAAAAGGCAAAAAGAGCTTGCAAACACTTTTACAACAGACATCACTCAGAAAACTACCAGATATAGAAACTGGTGACCATGTTTGTGTCAAACTGGATGGAGAAAAAGAATGGAATACTCTAGCTGTTGTAAAGAA